TGGTTTTTAGTCAGTAAGAGTCTGACACTCCCTCTCGCCTCACCCAGGCGGGAGCAGTCATTCGATGATTTCCCCCCCTTAAAAAAACCTTACCGATATCATTACTTAATCTAACTGAAGGGCTCCCTACACACATTTAGCTAAATTACATACCCACTTATGATTAAAATATCGAACCTTCAAAGATTTTACAATACGGTAGTTGACAACTAGTCAAATTCAATACTTTTATCGAAACATCAAAAACGATACTGTTCTATGAATTTTGTACGAAATACCATCTTATGACGTCATCATATTTTCGCGTCAATTAGTACACTTATATCTAAAAAAAATGCTAGATTTAATTGAAAATTAAGTATATCGGCAAATCAATGAATGAAAACATAACTCAGTTTTTATATTTAACTAGCTTCTGCCCGCGACTTCGTACGCGTAATCCCATTTTTTCCCGTCCCCGTCCGTGATTTTAGGTAAAAAGAAAAAAAAAATTTTGGTCAAAAAGTATCCTATGTCGGTCTCCTGGCTCTAAGCTACCTCCCTAGCAATTTTTAGCCAAATCTATTCTGCCGTTCTTGAGTTATAAGTGGTGTAACTAACACGACTTTCTTTTATATATATAGATTTGACTGAAAAATCATAATAATTTATTTTTGACCCCGGAAACTACCCAATTGCAGCCGAAACACTTAAACCGTAAAACGTTACAGAACATATTTCTGTAATTATTTAAATAAGAATAAAAAAATGAAAGTCACGCAATAAACGTTTGTATTTTAGGACACACGGAAATGGTCGCGAGTGACCTGCTACGTCACGAGAACTTTAGGAGTCCATTAAAACCCACGTAACTAGAGATAAAGTAACCGTAATCATATATTTTATTGTTGTCATTACTGAATTACAAAACAATGGGAATTTATTGGAAGTTTTTTTTTTATGGCATAAGCCGGTAAACGAGCAGACGGATCACCTGATGGTAAGCAATCGGCGTCGCTAATGACCTGGAACACCAGAGGCGTTACACTTGTAACGCCTCGCGTTACTGGCCTTTTGGGGATTAGGAGTTTGAGCATCGTAGAGGATTCAGAGATTGGGGAAGGGGAGGATAATTGGGCCTCCGGTAACCTCACTCACACGACGAAACACAACGCAAGCGTTGCTTCACGTCGGTTTTCTGTGAGGCCGTGGTATCACTCTGGTCGAGCCGGCCCATTCGTACCGAAGCATGGCTCTCCCACACTCCCAAGTATGTTATATTATGGAACTAAGTAATAAGAATGAGTAAGTAAGTAATAGAAGATAATATAGCTGGCTATGTTCGGCTGTGGATTTGGAACATCGGTGCTTCAAGTTGATTCGATGATTATAAAACTAGCTTTTGCACGCGGTTTCGCCCGCGTTGCTGTGCAATAAAAAGTAGCCTATGTGTTATTCCGGACCATAATCTATCCCTGTTCGAAATTTCATTTAGATGCCTTTAGCCGTTTTAACGTAATTGAATAACATACGCAGAAACACAGAAACACAGAAACACGTAAATTTTTGAATCTATAGCATTAGTAAGATAAAATTTAAATTCATAATTTTTTTATAGATTTCAAACCGAAATAATATGTACGGTAAAGAATTTTGTGGAACGACAACAATCAAGGTAGCTTTATATGGTGTCGCCCGTTATCAACAAAATCGGCGTCATCATCATGTCAGCTACAAGAGACCTGACGACATAGGCCTCCTACAATCGCTTCTAAATCAACCGCTTAGATGCGAGCTTTATAAATTACCTACGTCAAAGTTACACTCTGCACTTAATAATAGTCCAAATATCAGCATAAATAAAACACAAACTCATCAATTTCGACTATACGGCTAGTGGTTGGGCAACTGGCTGCCGTATAACGGGGGCGGGTTCGATTCCCGCACGGAACAACTCTTTGTGTGATCCACAGATTGTTGTTCCAGGCCTGGGTGTTATGTGTATCCAAACTTATATGTTTGTAAACGCACCCACGACACAGGAGAAAATCCGAGTGTGGGGAAACGGTTTTTTAAAGAAAGAAAAAAGTAAAGTAACTATTTCATCAAAACCCTACACAATGGGAAAAATAATACTTCTAAAATTCATTACCACCATAAAACAAACTACAAAAAAAAAACAACAAAAGATGCATTGTTTTCAATGCGTAACGTTTCGAAAGAGGTTTTGAAACGAAATCTGTATCAAACGCAGTGTTTACGAAACTCCGAGACGATTAAACAGCGGCTTTGATCCGACTCTTACGTGCAGCAATCGACTAATTGTTACTCGCATTTTATACAGAAACAAATCCTGTTTTACTTGATTTTCGCTCGTTCGTGAAAATGTTACAAAATTGATGTTTCACTTGCTTATGTACTATATTTTTTTATTATTTCCACTTGACTATGGTATACAGCCAATAATATTAACAGTCTATGATAATCCATTACTGAACATTGAGCTTCTTAGCGTTTGCCATAGTCTCTCGCTTGACACACGGATTGGAGATTGCAGTACAAAAAGTTCTGGTTTTTCAGAGAGTGCTGTTACTATTATCCGGTGCCAGAATTAATAGTGTTACGTTTAACTTATTAATTAAACTTGGGTTATTTTATTATGATTGCTGCGTGAGCAAGCGGATATGCGGTAATTGTTTTGACAAGTAAAAAAGTACTAGTATTTATTAAATTTTTAGTGTGTTGGTATATTAGGGTGTGTCCACATCTGGTGAATGCTTCGCAAATGCGCAGACAGATATTGTCGTAACCGCACACGTGAAGCTCGCGGGCAGCCCGCAAACGGCTCGCAAGCGGCCAGATGTGGACGCACCCTTATGTATAAACTTTAAAACACTTCGCGTCTAAAATCTTTTTCCTTTTTATTACCTAATAACATAAGAAAAAGTTTTTTAAAGACGTTTACTTTGTTGTAAGTTCATACTTCATAGCATGAATTAATCATTTCTTAGGTTTTGTTCAAACATCAAATCGATTGCTGCTGTAAGCATCTATGTTCCTTATTTAATCACATAATTATTGTATAATTCAATCATAAAATTAACAGTTAATAATATGTTTGATTGTTCGATTGTAAAATCAGCTTTCATATCATAGTACATACATAACGCTAACTTTTGACTACGGTTTCGTTCCGGCTTGGAGAAACCGGAACCGTGGTACATTATATTATAAGTGTACATATATATGTCTATGTATGTAATTGTTGCTCTATGACCTTTGCTCATTGCTAATGTTAGCTCGAACTGGTCTCAGACACTATTATAATTTAGAATCCAAATGGTCCTAAAGTTTCTATGATCTTCTGTGAGCAACAAGCCCTTAAATTCTGCTTAGACCCTAAATAAGAATTGATAAAAAACATTCAAAAGTTTACATATTTTTAGACTAAATTAATTACAAACTTTAATTTTGTTTTATAAAATTACGAGAAAATGAAATAAAGAATATGTGCACATAGCGATATGTGTGTATGATATGTGTACCTCACGATAGCGATGAGGAAATTTTTTTTTTGATGCCTTTAGATAGCATTTTTATTATTATTCCTTTTTTTAGTTGTAAATATTTTATTTCATAGTTATTTATATTTTAAGTTGTGCGCATAGTATATGTTTTAGATAAACTTAGGTACATATATATTTTAACAAAACTCAAATAAAGTAGATGATCTATTCATCTCACTTTATCCCCAAAATATGCTTTAACTCACATAGTAAAAATCACTTTGCTTTTAATAATATTATGCAAAAAATTACTTAAAAGAAAATAAAAAATGGATCGTCCTTGCTCCTCATACGATTTTTATATATTTCTGTAATGTACCAACGTAATTATATTTCGTACTTATCTGCTTTTGAATTTTTATTTCAGAAAGTGAAGGTTAATACGTTTTTGTAGATCTTATTTTGGTTTAAAACAAATATTAATACCTACTTAACTGTTTTGACTTTGAATGTTAGCAATTTTTGTGTTTGAGAATTTTGCGTGAGGAAGCATCTCATCTTTTAAAACTTCACCATAATTATGTATCTTCGGATTTACTTAACTATTTGGATATACATATATACCTCTAACTCTAACGATACAGATTAGATTCCATCAAAGTTGTTTCTTATTAACTTCAAACAAAAGGCAAACCATTTAATATAAGATACCTAAACGGATGCAAGGAAGTTACATCATCTTTCACAGGAATCAATAAACATTATGAATGTATCAGCTATCAATTTAGAAGTTCATAAATATAAACAATATTCATTAACTTATAAATTGTCAATTTGTATAATTAACACGTTAGACGCCACACCGGGGATCACCGGTGACCGATGTTAGCTAGATGTTACTATTGAAGGTAAGTCTTCCGACTTACCTTCAATAGTTTTCTATTGGCAGTCAAAGGCTTGAAATTTATGTACGATACAATTAATTACCAGTTGCAGAGATTGCCAATTAGTAACACAAGTGACTTACATACAATATTGATTGAATCGGAAATTGAAAGTGAGAATATTGAAACCTTTGTAAAATTAGATCACAAACTTTACATTTCATTCAGTTTAGCAATAAAACTATCTCGCGTGTAGATAAACTACGAGAAATGTGAATGACTATAAAAACTATTAAAAACCAATTTGCAAATTTATTGATACACAATATGCTAAAGACTTGCATAAAATATGCAAATATAGTGAACATTCATCGCTACACAACATAACAATTACGAGAGCACCGAAGATGTTACGTGATAATTATGGCAAAATGTTGATGTTGTCGATATCGAAGGCTTTTTCTATAGATCTCCCAACAAATTTCTATCTATTGTTCTAATTGAGACGCCGATAGACTGACAATGCGGCACACAGCGCACACGTAACTGCAGCCCGAGCACTCGCACACACCGGCCGCTAAGTGAAAACGAGTATAAATACGATGCAAATTACAAGTGCTGGCATTACCCACCACCCTCTCGTGGAGTAAGGTGTTCCACTGTAATCCACTGCCGACATGTACTACCACGTGCGTAACTGTGTACTTGTGATACCTAGTGCTCTCGCTGAAATCGTCCACTCAGTGCAAACAACGCACCCAGTGCGCCACTCGACAATACCGTGATCGTGTTAATTGGACTGTGCTCAAAATATTAATTAGCCTATTATACCAAATTAGTTCAGTAACCAGGAATATTAACTGATTGATCGAACGCACTGATCAGTGAACGAATTCAGTGAAGCATCTATAAGAGTAATTCTTCCTGGTAACACGTCGTTTGGCTTCGTAGGAAGTCTATCACGTTACATAAATCAGATAGGCTCTATTCCTCGAGTTAGTGCCCGCAGCGAAACTGGTTAACGACAACCAGCTAGCTATTTTATTGTCGATTCTTCGTTTATTAATTGACAGCCAACGTCCGCTCTTACTGCAAGACATGTTGTTGTATAGGCTTATGTAATTACTAAGACACAATTAGTTCAAATCTATTTGGTGAAATTAGAACACTCTACATGTTGTATATTAAAACATCAATTAAAATGTTTTTATTTTATGCACAGATTTTCCTGGGATTTTTGGCCGTGGTGGCCGCCTACCCTGGAATCATCCATGAGGAGGCCCCACAACTAGAAGCCAAATACGACCACCACGCCCTCATCGGCGAAACGGGACACCATCACCAAGTTGAGCATGAACATGCCAAGTCACACCAGTCGATCAAATTCGAGCACTTCCACCCAGTCCCCGTGTACGTGAAGAAAGAACACAGCCATCTGCTGAAGCATCCTCTCGAGAAGGGCAAGTCTGAGCAGAACCTGAAGCTGATCCACCCCGAGACTGAGCACAAACATGGCGGCGGTCTGGTTCTCGAGGACGACAGGCACAACACCGACCACGCTGCTGCTCTCGAGCATCATGGCTTCGAGCACGGAGGCTTCGAGCATCTGTCCGGTGGCTTCGAAGGTGGTCACGGAGGTTTTGAAGGTGGCCATGGAGGATTCGAAGGCTACAGCGGCGGTGAGGGCCTAAAAGCTTACGCAGAGCTTGCCCAACCTGAAGCCGGCGAAGGACACTACTACGCGGAGGCGGGACACGCACTCGCCGACTCTGGCGAGAGTTACAAATACGACAGCTATTAACTGCATTTACCAGAGACTACCACGGGCATGTCGCGTGGAGTTCACTCCACCGTCTAAAGTAACTTTAGGTCTATCTCTTGCCTGTTGATATTAGTACACATAAGGTTAGATCGTAGCTTGAGACTAATATGTATTCAGCTTACGTTATGCAGTTGAAATGTGTCTTGTAGATCCAAAATGTACCTGATCTAGAATTAATTCTAAAATCGTATTTAGGAAGTTTGTATGTAGGTCTTGAATTTATTGTTGTAGATTCTAGGCATTGCGCGGCGATTAAATTATGAGAAGTTAGGAACAGTTTAGATAGGGTGTTAGAAAGTACCGCGCGATGTGTTTCTGAGTTGATCGACTGCTTGTTCGTGTGATTGTTTTCTATGTAATTGTTCTCTCGCTTGATTCTCGTATTAGTGATTATTGTGACTTAGGCGATCGTTGATTGAGTCCCAGAGAAATTGTGATATTAATAAAATGTTTGTTTTATATAAACATTGGTGTTTGAATTTGAGCCGACGAGGTTTCCACACAACTTGTGATACAGGCAGTATTCTTCTGCTCCACTAGACCATGTATTGATATCGGCAGCAACAGCTGTTAATTGCTTGTTACTGACGGCTCATGTAATTGTTACCGACTGATTATGCAGAGCTCTACTCCGTAATTCACAAAAAGGATCATAGCCGGTGGTTGCGCAATCGTGATTTAACCGAGTTACAACATTCTCTAGCTATTAGGAACTTCAAGCAATATTTCTGAATAGATCCACAAGGTATACCTATTAATGTTATAGAAGGACGATAAAAAGGGGAGAAGTCTGTCTGGCCTGGTACATTAATTAACATAATGAACATAATAACAATACAGACTCACAATGTCCTAACCAAAATATACAGTCTTGGAATGGAACATAACTAGAAGAAATCGTGAAAGGCAAATGTCGGTAGTAAGCTCTTATTTCATTTAAATTGCCGTCCCGTAGTTTCTGAGTCACGATATCGAGTATATATTCCATATATACAAGGAAATAACGCTAAACGATAGCTATTACTTATCTAGGTAGGCTCAATGTAATATGCGTGAGAGTAATATTGAGTCACGGTTTTGAGATATATTTCAATATTTTTCTAGTAACTAGTAATACTAGTAATACTAGTAAATACTTTATGTATAAAAATTGCTGCAAAAATTGCTGTAGGTACTATTGTTCTATAGTTGTTATAATTAGGAAGTTATTTTAAAAAGTATTCCTTCATTGATTGGAATGACAATTAACATTTTTTGAAAACGTGTAAGCATTCCAAGGCGACTTAAAGTAACATTCCATAATAATAAAAAGCCTTATCTATTTATGCATGCCACACATTAAATACTTTACTACATTTGTATGTATTTCGAAAACAATACCTTATTTTCAAAACTAGACGGGCGAATTTACAATACCATCTGTGAATTCTAGTTCACTTTCTTTTAGGCCTTGTTTGATTAAGCTACAATTGGTTTAACTAACATACATTTATTACTCGTTTACTATGGAACATACACCCAAATTGTTCATCAGTTTGACTAACAAAAACCAATTCTTTATGACACCACTTTTGGTGCGATGGCTGGGCAACCGGCTGCCGTGCAATGTGTCGCGAGTTCGATTCCCGCACGGAACAACACTTTGTGTGATCCATAAAATGTTGTTACGGGTCTGGGTGTTTGTGAACTTGTACATATGTTTGTAAACGCACCCACGACAGAGGAGAAAATCATAAGGTAGGGCAACGTTTAAAAAAATTCAGTAATTGTGAAATAGGCCTTAAATTTACGTACTTTATTTACTTTATGCTTCGTTCTAAGATTTCGTTCTTTAATATTACATTCCAATTACATACGGTCTACTTGTGAGTGTCAACAATGAAATTGTTGTGACGTAATGCCACTAATGTTGTTCACACCACATTGCGGCCTACTCCACGCATGTTTAATATGTATATAAAGATATAGTTGGTGGGCTTGTAATTTCCTACTGATAGTGTGTTTGGTGAATTCTGTTTTATAATGATGCAATGTTAGATAATATAGTTTTCTGAATTTGAAGTTGTATAAGGGTAATGCACTGCATTGTAAGTAGGTCACTAATAAATTATCTATAATACGTAAATTGTAAATTACATTATAGTGTAAAATTAAGATGTGTAGGTTTTAAATCTTTAAGGGAACAGTTTTCTCAAACTTGACCTCGATTAAAATACTCTCAAGAGCTTTAAAATAAAGACGACTTGTCTATAAATACATGATTGCATTCATTTCACTCAAAGAAAAATCAATAACAACCACAAAAATGATAAGCAATGTCCATAAAAACCTCATTCTTAACGAACGATGAATATATTACTCATAAACCAAACGATAAAATACTTATGTGGGGCGATGTTACAACTCAAAGTTATGCAACACCAGCGAATACAAATCTTGTGATTTTAAAACGCGACATCTCAGCTTCCTCGTTCTACGATTTCGTATTCAAGCTGTAGGTGGCACCACTTTCTACGCGATGATATACCTCTACACAAACATAATTCCAAATGTATTTTGCAATTCAACTGCTAAATATCGCGATCGATTGAAATGCGAAAAAATGACATCAGATTTCCGTGTTATAAAAGTTATTTCTGCTTTAATTTATGCTTTAACATCCGGTTGATTAAAATTCTTTTTCACGGATTACATTTTTATGTAACTTGTTATAGAATGGTTGTATTAATAAGTAATTTTAAGTAAATAAATCAGTGATTGAATAACGGTTTAGTGATTTTGTGTTAGAATAAAACTCTCGTATAAATTGCTGGTAAAGTGTATATTGAATTTTGTTTAAATAGGTGCAAAATTCAGATAAAGAAGAAAAGTTTATAACTAAATATGTTATGAAAGAAAATTTAATACATTACTATTGTTTTAAAATAAAAGTAGTTCATCATATGAGCAAACCCGCTAATCTAGGTAGTAATAGAAATAGATGAATGTACAAAAATATCCTCATTTTCAATAATATTTTATGATAACATTAAACAACTAATATCACGCCGTCTAACCACAGATTTATTTTATAAAAACTAAATGTATAGGCATCACTAAGTGAATACGTATTTTCCTTGGCGCCTTAAGTATTTTGGCGTGCAACTCACAACAAACTAAATAATGAAATCTTTTCTCAGGCGTAAGTCACTGAAACCAGCAATAAATTCTTCACTAAACTTGTTCAATCACAATTTATTTAAATACAATAAATACAAATAAAAACTTTTATATCTTAAATACATTATCACTCAATCAATGGCATCAATATTGCACTGGGTTTTTCTAAATACTATATTTCGTAAAATAAATTATCTGTGTTTCAAAGACAGTCAGTCTTCAAAAGCACTAATTCTAATGTTCCCAAATGTGGCGGATGACGTAGGAGACTGGCTCCTGTACATTAACAGGGATTCTGGTGGGAATCAGATACTTCTCATTTTTAGGAACTACTTTGTAAGTTGGATGTGGTCTCTCTAGTTTAAGATAGACGTTTCTACCTCCTTGGTAATAAGGACCTCGTTTGTTGTCCACGGGTTTCGGAACTCTTAACGGTTTCATGAATTCTGGGTATGCAGCAGGAATTTTAACCTCTTGAGGTTTAGGAATACGTACAACCATTGGATACTCAGTACTCCTCACCGATTCCAAAGGCTGTCGTACTACATTTCCCGTATTAGAAACCCTGGAAGCTTCAAGCTTTGCTAAAACATTCTGCTGTCCCAAGTTTCTGTTTAAGTTATCCACTGCCACAGTATAAGCTTTATGGTCATAATTTTGGGATTCCTTCATTTCTTGTAATTTACTGCGAATTTTAAACTCACCGTTCAATAGTTCCTGCTTTTGATGATTAATTGTTTCAGTTATGGACTGGTGTTGGTAGAGCGGAGCCAAAAGCACTGCTAGTTTATCTTGATGTATGACTGGAGTTTGGGCAGTTGGCAAGGGTTTTGTAGGAGTTTTTGGCTTCTCCTGTTGCACCTCCGGCGGTGGTGGAAGACCCTCAACCGAACTGAGAGTTTCCTTGAATTGAATAGCATACTGAGATTCTAAATATGATTGAGGTGTCGGCGTAGGTTTTGGTGTAATTTGCACAAAAGTCTGAGGAGGGATTGTGGTTTGCTTGTCTAGTTTGATACGAATTTTTACCGGCCTGTATAGGTTTTGTCTACTATAGTTATTTGGTTGGGTTGTGTGTACAGGCATGTATGAAATTTGCTGTGGTTCAACTTGCACTTCAGTATTTGCAACTGGTTGAATGCGCTCAGATTGCTGAGGGTAGGTATTTATCAGAGTCTCAGTAGTAACTCCTGTATTTGTTACTATTTCAGCAGGATCATTTATCTCAGGGTTTATTTGTAATTGTGTATTCGCAACAGTATTAGCAGTTGATAGAGCCATGTCAGTTGTTTGCATATTAATTTCTGTTTGCACTCCATGTTGGTATCCAGGAAGGGGTAAAGCTTCGAATGGTATCATTTGTAGACTCTCACTTTCATAATTCGGTAGGAAACGAACATACTGTTCTGCATTATTTTGATTATTAGGTTTCGGTCGATTCGCTTTTTTAGGAGTATATGGAGTAGAATATTCCTTGTCCTTGTATTGTTGTCTTGCTTTCGTATATTTATACTTTGGTGTTGTTGTTGTAGGCATTTCTGTTGTAGTTTCCGTGGTTGTGGCTAGCATAGCTTGATAAGCCAAATCATCATTGATTTCCTGGATGTTTAAAAGTTTGTAATAATCTTCTAATATATCTGGATTCTGTTTGATATCATCGCTTGAATTCATCCAAACTTGATGAGGCATTTGGTTCTCATATTCAATGCTTTGTCGAAATCGTTCTTGTAGTTCAGCAAAATCAGATTCATATTCTGGATATGGTTGCACTACAGCTCCAGCCGCTTGAAGAATTTCCACTTGATCTGGTGTTAGGAATAATACGATTTCTTTCATTCCTCTCAATGAAGGGTGTTGGGTTGATGTTGGTTCTGGTGCTGGCGATGAGGACTGTGGTGTTTCATAGTACGATTGTGCAACGTTGTCGTTCAGCCCAGCTCTCACCGATGCTAAGAACATCGGTATTAGGAGACACCATTTCTGAAATTGAGAAAGGAGATTTATAGTCAATGTGGTTATCAAAGAGTCCATCAAGTCTTGAATTGTGTGCTTTACTAACCTGTGCCCCCATGGCTACAGCTGTATGGTGACCGGCCTGTGACGCGCTCAACCGCAGTTAGTCGTTTGCCTTAAAATGAAGAAGAACAACATTTTATATAACTATATTACACATACGAATATTCAATAGATTCATATCTGTGTCGGTTGAATACTTCCGTATTGATTACGCTTGTAAAATCAAACTTCGCTTCATACAGACTCAATATTGTCGCAATCTTGTTAATATTGGGTGAAAGTCGTAATCATTAACGAAGTATTAATGAGCAACAGTATTGACTCCTTTATTTGGATGTAATAATGGCAATTCCTATTATTGTTAATGAAAATTGAACCTTATTGTATGAGAACACGATACAAATTGCCTTAACTTATCAACACTATTGTAGTAGATAAATAAACTAAGATTTATGTACGTACCAATATAAATCTTCGTATTACATTACACGTTTGTTTAAAATAATTGCTTTTGTGATTACATTTATTGTCTTCAAAAACTACCCTTCTAATACAACTGCATAATATTTAAAACCATATTGTGCAATATTTATTGTTTATTTTCCAATGTACCACGGGCTGTATCTCACTGCAGCTTACCTAACCTAATGAGCCAAAACGATTTTGATTTCCTCTCTTTTATATAAACTTTTGCTGCGACCCCCCGAGAGGCAGCCAATCGTGTCTTGCTGCGATTTTTTAATTAAGAATATTCGTGATTTATTCAAATCTATGATGTAATCCTTACGAATTTGGATTCAATTTCTATCTCTTTGATTATATTTGCACTAAAAGCATTCATTTATTTTATTATGTTTTTATGTTTATTATGTATGATTTAATCTTTTGAACCGACCTGTCGAATGAAAACCAAAATAATAACTGTCAAAGAAGATACCGCTCGCTTATAAATGCAAGACTGACGAAGAGCCAAAGGTAACTTGACGAATAATATTTCATTGAACGTTACTTAAGCGAGTAATGGCATCATATCATTGTATTGGCACTGACATTGGACAAGAATACTCGGTATTAATTTTAAGTCTTTCCAAAACTGGCAAACTCAGCGCAGGACGTTCACAAATAAGATGGACAGACGACCAGATAAAACTAGGTCACAGGGAGGCATTGGATACCTACAGCTACAGGATGGAGGCCTATCTAGAAGTCATTTGAAGAGCTGTAGACGTCTTGTGACTGATTTGCTTATTAGATTATAGACAGCAACCATGGTAGTAATAATTTAATTATTTATTTTGTTTCAGTTACGTGTGTAAGCACACACGTAACTGTTTGACTAGGAACTCGACTAGTTTCAAGCCATTGTTAGAAGCTCATATTCATGAGCAGCATTCCGCTACTCGCGACTGTCGCGCTGCCTTAATTAAGGTCACTTTTAGGGTGTTTTTAAGACAGATGTGGCAACAACCCTTTATACAAAGCCAATACCGCGTGCGAGATAAAATTTACACGATATTAAAGCACCCTTAATCCACTCAGAGACAGAATATAGCGTCACTTTTCACCAGTGACGTTATAACTCCTATGTAATAGGAGGTGGGCCTATTACTATGTAGTGATATATATGTATGTATCTACTTAAAATCTAGATTTGAGATGTTTTTATTACCAATTTCGTCACGCATTAAAATTGAGACCATTTATTATTTCCTGATTTCTATATTTTTACATATTTTTTAAATTGCGTTTTCAAAATTTTGTCATATTGGCTACATAAGTGTCGTATTAAAATGGTATGAATGATTTAGTTATTTAATTTTCATTTTATTTATTTTATAACTGTAGATGACTAACAGACAACTAAAGTAGAACATAGTTAATGTAGGAACTACAATATACTCACAATATAATATACGAAAAATAATGAGTACATAGTATAATTCAATATGTATAAAACGCCTGATCTTAAATTAACGGTAACGTTTTGTGTCTATGCTATTTTGTTACGAATTAAGTTTGTAATATAAAATAAACAATACGTTATATTACTAAGAATCTGGTTTTAAATTATTTGTTAGGTAATAAAAATATGAGTTAAATCTTTTTATAATATTTAGTGCGTAAAGCACCCATTTTTTATCAGCTATGTATACTAGGATGGTTAGATCGCAGCGTTTAGTCTTATTTTATCTGTGGCCGCAAATGCTTATCATGCGTATTCACGACTATTTGTCATAAGGCGCTTTTTATAATGGCTGTACCAACAAGTGACTGAGAATTTTTAGGTAACGCCACAACTAAGGACGTTGAAGAATTTTTAACGTTGAAGATCTCATCTATAAAGGTTTAGGTTTATAAAAAATGTTCCTATACGGTCTCTGACAAATGTCTAGTTAAGTCCCTAATTAAGTCAGCTCTGACTTGCATGAAAATAGGAGGGTTGGTAACAATAGTTTTCTAACCAGTGTTTTCCTATTGGCTTATTATATGTAATTGGAGACAATAACATAATTTCTTTTATGAATTTCCCCTCACTGACGCAAACATGATGCCATATTTGTAAGATCGGAAGTTGCATCCGAATATATAGAGGTATTCACATTCCATTAGCCAAATCATCAATAAAACAAACTGTTACATAAAACAGGTTCTAGTGTGACTCATACTTCAGGTCTGTTTCACAAAATGTCGTCGCCACACCCCTTTTTTAACCGTAATACAGATACCGTACTACCTCCGTGTTAATACGTGACTATGTGATTATGATCCGGTTTGTTTTTCTGATACTATTTATTTACAAATGATTAACACGGTTGTTATTCACACCCACTTTTCATCACTTCGTTATTAGATAATGAAATCATACCAGTCTTTTATTTCTTGGATTAACTCGTCGAGTACCGGTTTTATAGACACAATTAAAGAACAATAGGTCGCGGTCACCGGTGACCGCTTGGTGTTTGACAGTTTAATGTTGTCAACAAGATATTATACGGATGATTAATAATATATCTCTGTATAGATACTTTAAGTAAGGGCTACATCAACAGCCTGTGATAGTCCAGTGCTGAACTATTTCATTTCTACACAAGAAAGGTTTACTGTGATCTCCATGCTAGACAGACAGGGTGGATATCACTGTTTAACATTAAAAGCTTTAGCGCTGCGACCCAGTGTCTGTAAAATAATTTAGTCCCTTACTGCCGGGTTCATTAACCCATCCAACCAGAGTATTATGTTGATAAGGATCAAATTTTTACATTAGTTGTATGGAGTTTCAATCTAAAATCGATTTTAATCCACAGGTTTTGGATTGATATTGGTTATTAGGATTGTCAATTAATCGGCTCTTATTTATTTATTAAGGGTCAAAAAACAGTTACATTTTAAAGTGTAACATGAAAAGTCATACACTTGATTTCCCCTAATCCTTTCTATCACCGTGCCACAAGACAATCGGCGAAGTGTCACTGATTCATGGTAGATGTCCCACCAACACGCAAGAAACGCTTTGCATCAAGCTTCCTTGTGCGTATTGTTAAGGAGTGGAATTCTTTGCCTGTCTGTGTTTCCTGAAGGATATAATAGCCTGAAGGATATAATAAATCTTCAAAGCGGGAGTGAATGGTTGCTTATGGGCGGACGAGCTCTATCGTAGGTCGCATCATCGCTTACCATCAGACGAGATATTAGCCAGACGTCGGCCCATTATATATAAAAAAACACTTGTGATACCCACATGAAGATAAAGGATGGTAATAAAATCGAATTTATTCTGCTGCTACCGCCATACACAGCATTATTTTACTACTCATATATTCCAATTCTGATAGGCCATAAATTGTAAGTTACATAGTATCGGAATATCGGAAATAAGCGTCGGTATGTAGGCTGCGATTACATCGGAACTCGATATTTCCACATCTGCGGTCAGATTAGCATAATAAAATAATTGATTGTTGAATATTATCTAATTTAATTTCACTCTCACTTTTGTTTACTGGATTTTGTGACAGAATTATATAATTTTGTAGCGAGTTTATATAGAGGGTGATCGAGTGAACTTTTGAAGCTTATAAACGGATTTTGACTTTTATTATATTTTTTATCAATTTGACGTGATGGTTTATAAAAAACGTACAAAAGGCTGGAAAATATATCACCCAGTAAATAAAGTTCTTCTTTGATTAACTCGTTTTTATTATGCGAATGTATATTTGAGGATTATACGTCCATGGTACATTCCCTTCTATATAATACCTACTCTTAAGTTGTGTCATTAATGTTAGAAATAATTACTAATCAAATAACAAACGCACTTCAAATGTTTAATTGCAATAATGCTTATTTCCATTGTGTTACGTTGTGAAACTATGATAAAAGTGTAAACTTAAAGCCTCCAAAATTCAGGATAAATAAGAAAACAACAAGTCGATTGTAAAACGATACGTTTTATATTCATCTATTTACATGTACAAACTAATGACTATCAAAGTATTTACAATTCTATTGACTATTTGGTATGATCACGACTGTTGCTGGCTGGCACCAGCTGGTTGAAGAGCAAGGCACCACCTTACCAGCAGCAGCTCTTCTTTTTGTAGTGGGTGACGTGCTTGATGATGTGGAGTGGGTAGGGCTTCCACACGGCGACGGGAACCTCCACGTGCTTCTCAATGGGCACGTGGATCTTCTTGATTACTTCGTACGGCCTGTCAATAGGGATGTGCACCTTCTTGATGACCTCAACTGGGACTTCTTTGACGACCTCAACGGGCACTGGTCTCTCAACGCTCACGTGCTCAGTCTTGTATACGGGGTAGGGGACGTGCTTCACAACGTCAACGTGGACTGGGTAGGGCTGTGGCACGGGTACTTTGACCTCTTGACGGACGGGCACAGGTACAGGCTGTGGCACGGCGAGCTGGATGTGACGAGTCACCTCAACAGGGATACGACGAACGACATTTTGCACAACAGATTGCAACTCGTATCTGGTCGCGGAAGCCACTGGGCGGCCGACGCTGACTGTTGTTCCAATGACTCTCGGGGCTCCAAGAGTTGCAGGGCCAAGACCGCTACCACTATTGTCACCAGGTCCAGGCAGATTCGAGTCGAGAAGGAGGCTACCCTCAGAGTATCCGTTGCCAGATGGTCCGGGAACTGAGAGGTCGGATGAAAGAGAACCGTATCCAGGGCCAGAGAGTCCAGATCCATGGCCAGGTGGTCCATATACTGGGCTGGGACCATGACCAGAGCCGAGTCCGGATCCATGGCCGGGTGGTCCATATACTGGGCTGGGACCATGTCCAGAGCTGTGTCCAGATCCATGACCACCACCGAGAGAGTGACCACCACCGAGAGAGTGACCGCCGAATCCACCGGATCCACCAATAGAGCCTATTCCAGGAAGAGATGCTCCAGAGAGAACTGGACCATGGTCATCTCCTACTGACTCTTCAATGTGATGAGGGCCACTTCCTCCATGTGGTGCTCCATATGTCGATGAAGGTGCGAACGAAGCTGAAGGTGCATTTAACGCAGATGACAGGAATGAGTCAGGGCTTTGGTGCTGGCCATTTAAATATCCGGCATTAGTGCTGTACACTAGCGCTGACAGGAAGAGAATTTTGACCTGCAACAAATAGAAGTGATGTTCAGTTTGGAATATGAAAAAATGGCGGCTATTGTCATGTTTGTTTGAATTGTGTTTAAGTTTTAGTGAATGAACTTACAACAAATGCCATGGCTTTTAGCTAATCGCTTTGAAGCCAGGAAAAAAAACGAGCTAGTTGTTGTCCCTTCCGAGTGTCGGTTGCTTGTGGTGTGACATCGGACGGCTCCACATATTTATACAAGTCGCTCTTTCCAACAACGCCTATGAATACATTAGAGTCAAAACTCGAACGGACATCGCTACACTACGTCACTGATGCTAAAATATATTATGTTAATTTCTGTACTGATCTCGTTAACATCGTTTTCTATGATTATGCAAGGGAAACTTGGTACTGAAGGTCTAAAACTATCTTCCATGATACCATTGCTTCATACAAATGTAATTATGAAAATCAATTTCAAAGCTCAAGGCTCATATTTATTGCAGCTTACCACGACCAAAGTTATATTTTTATTGATTTTCATAATTTTCTTTACTTAATAAGTCGTAAATAATTCTGTTAATTACATTAGTGTTATTAGTAAAATTAGACAGGTATGTTTTGAAGTCAAATATTTTTTCTAATGAATATTATATTAAAGTTTCACATTTAAGTATTCACGTGTCAAATCGACTCCAGTTTAATACTCATCGGGGTCAATGTTACTAAAAGCAATCTTAAAATCTAACGCGTTTATAATCTTACAAAATTAGTGCGTAAAAGATATGGTTAAAGATCTTAGGTATTTCCTAAACATAACTTTACAGTACGTATATTAAAAATTAACCTATCAAAGATATCATTTAGTTTTTTTTAAATAGGCGTGCTAGCAATTCATTATGAACTGCATCCAATAAGTGTTGATAAACCAAAAAACTGAAATAGTTTATGTTTCTACTATCAGTAGAAGCTATTAAGAAGCGGTCTTCTTAAACATAAGGGTGCTAGTTGAAAAACCGGTAAGCGCCGATTTTTTTTGGACATGATACAGTGTAGTGTAATGTCGTGAGGCAATCAAGAAGCTTTGCCGTTTTCATCTTGATAATTGTAGATTATTTGTGATTGATAAACTCAACTAATTATTAAAAGACCTTCAAATAAACCTATAACTATTGGAAAAAGCTTTACCTGATTATTATTTCACAAGGATATAATAACTACTCGTTCGACGTGTGTAAATTTTAGCTTTACTGTAACCACTTTCAGAAACGGTTAAGGTTCCGTAAGATGTCAATTTCATAGATAAACTATTCTAGTCTAGATGATAAATTGGGCGTAATCTTAGGAATGTTATAATCATTATTATCATTGGTTGAAACTATTTTACTATTAGGTGAAAACTCTTCTCTGAACGAGCAAAAAAGAGACAGACCTCTGAGTTTGTTTCGGCATTTCTTCTCAGAGTAGTCAGTTAGGAAATGTCGGCCTCATCATTCGCTTGATAAAATTGACATGTAAAAGTGCTGCCTTGTAGCCTATTTGCAGAAATAAATTCACTTATTTCACTTGTCACTTGTTTCACATTAAGCACCACACTCGCAATGCGAATTAGCGATTTCAAACTTATAATTTGAAATTATAAAAATATTATGTTATGTATGTATAGGCCTAAATATAACTGAGGAAAGTAGACCAAATCTTGTAGAAGTTACTTCATAGAACAAGTATGTAATGCAGATATTTTTTATAACTAGAAAGCTTACATTATTACAACTAAACCAGTCTAATGTGTATGTTGTACCATAATAGAGTTGTTGATGCGATAAAGTGATTATTGTGTTATACCAGCTTTGTTATTTTGTTAGTTGTGTGGTTCCAAGCGTTAGGCCTATTATCCACGTTGTGGCATTTGACGGATGCATTCATTTGACAAAATTGATAGGGGGATTGAACGTTGCCGCTTCGTGGACAGTTTTCATTGCTTCTAAGCAAAATGCAAGCTTTTGTCATTTGTAGGCCGCCTATTGTTTATGAAGGATGCATGCATTCTTCAAATGATGGAACATGGACAGTTACTCTCACTACTACTAAGTAACCGGGTTTTCGTTTTCGTTAACAGTATGAATTTTATATACATAATTATTATGGTTAAGTTGCACTGTGTGTTCCAAAACAAAACTACATTGAGTTTCATACTTCGAATCTATAATTATGTTTCTACATTTTCTTCAGTATGGTACGCTGAAATTGAATTTGATCTGTGTGTAAAGTAAGTTAGTAGGTCGATTTTAAATTCATAAAAAAAGAAATTGTTTAGGATGGGCAGTTGGTCACGGATTACCATAAGAACGCGAAACAGATGCCAATGTTTCCTCATATCGCATTCAAATGCGTATCTTCATCGTAATTTATTTGCGAATTTAGATAAGTTAAGATTATTAGCTTTTCCTACGGCTTTAGTCACGTTTTCATACTCAAACCTGACCTTTAACTCAAAATTATCTAAAAAAATATTTAGGGTGAACTGAGGACTGTCATCATAATACTAGCATCCTAAGGAGGAGCTGTAGCATGGATGGAACGTGAACATTATGGCAAACCCACTCTTAAGTAAATGCCCTTGTTCAGCAATGGACTTCTTCTCTGCTTTTTTTCGAGGGGGGATAATCATCCTATGACTTCTCCCGCCCTGGGTTAGGCGAGAGGGAGTGTCAGACTCTTACTGACTAAAAACCACCCCATTAGTACTTCTGCTCTTCGAACCGTAGCCCCGGCAACCCGTTTGGCCTTTCGCGGCTCCGTCTCGGCCATCAGCCCTATTGGGCCCTATCTAGCTTCTTCCCTGCTATGATGATGATATATTAACTACTTTCATAATTCCACTTTTAATTTAGTCCACTCTATCTGTCACCCATTACAAAAAAAATAGGCATAATTATTAACTTTATGATTTACATTTTAAAACTTAACCTCTGGACAATAAATCACTCACATTGAAATACGATGGCCTAATTCTTAATACGTCTTTGCCAAATAATTACATCATCGGTCCCATGATGTCAGATATGAATGTTTTTTTATTATAATTAAATACAATATCAAGTTTCCAATTTCACCTGTTCATGGGAATTCGTATGTTAATAGTCTATGATCGTTCCACTTGCTTTTCGTTTCCGCTTTGTCGTGTGTTTTTACATAATTGTCAATAATATTAATCTCATTGACTTAGTTTAAAGCTTTGATTAGCTATGTATGATTTTTATTTGACGTGTACTATGAATGAATTTGAACGAGTGCGTTTTTATTAACATGTCTTCATAATCTTAGATTCAATTGTAGGAATACGCATTATCAAATGTGGTACCTATAATAGTCTTAGTTAAATATTCTTAAGCCAATTTGTTTAATAAATAAGCTCGTGATCAGCCATAGTCAGATTATAAAAGTAGCGCTCTAAGCTGAATAGTTTTTTTCAGTTTCATCGTCTCTCAGCTAATTTTAAAACCCATTTTTATCCAAGATAAAATGGAGAAAATAGTCTATTAATAAACTATGTGTCGTTTGATTTGGAGTACACCAATAACAGTTTCTCTGTGTTACGTAAATTAAATTACAATAAATCATTCCTAAGGTCGCACAACCTTCCAATTCCAGTGAAAAGCCCCGCCCACATATAACCTCATTTTTAACCGAAATGTTACCGGCACTTATTTATAGATTCAATCTCGGTTTCAAGTTGCATAGATTTCTCATAATCAATCTTCTTGTTATCTTTTATATGTCGTTTAATTATTGTTGTACTTTGAATGATAGCAATGAAATTGCTCCAAATAACAAGTACTTCATTATGTAATTGAGCTGTACGTGCTCATGAAATATGATCACTTCTTAGTTTTTTCTACTCTTCTTGGAAATGAAAATCTTTTGGTTTTCCTACATACGTCCCCAAATTTTAAGAATAACCGCCGTACATGACACATACTTCAACAATCGTGGCCACTGCTGAGCAAAGCCTATTCTCACACGGAGAAAGTTTGAGCATTAATCACCACGCTTGCTCAGTGTGGGTTGGCAGTTTCAAACAATATTATTATTAAAAATTATAAGTCCAGATTTCCTCGCGATGCTCAGAACAAAGTCGTCATTAATGTTTAAGTGAATATTAAAAGTATCTGTTGTTTATGTAAATAACCTTTATGTCCTTACCATCATCATCATCATCATCATCATCAGCAGCTGATCAGTCCTTAGTCTGCCACATCGAACTACAACATGTCACTTGCATCCAATAAATACCTTCAACAAAACAATTTCTTCAGAAAACTATTAAAGATTCACTGGAAAAGACTAACCTGTGCAAAAGGCATTTTAACTTTTATTTTTCGATTTTCGAAAACTCAACATTTTTTTTTAATGGGGGAATATCATCCTATTACTTTTCCCGCCTGGTAGAGGCCAGAGGGAGTGTCAGACTCCTACTGACTAAAAACCAACCTGTTCCTACTCCTGCACTTCGAACCGGAGCCCCGGCAAACCGTTAAGCCCTCCGCGGCTCCGTGTCGGTATTAACCCTATTAGGCCCTATCTGTGGTGGTCTGATGGCTCCTTGAGGCGTGTGCGGAAAGCGACGCGCAGGCTCGTGCCCACGGTGGCCCGGAGAAAACCTCTACAATAACATGGAGTTTGGTATTGTACCCGGTATATGGCTACAGGCTCACCCCACAACAAAACTGGTGAAATATGGATGACACAATGTATTATGTTCCCTTTATACAATTAGTCATTAGTGCTCAACATATTTTATAATAATAATACAGAATACTTTTTCGAAAAAAAAATATGTAGTGCTATAGTTATTTAAGACAAGTGAAAATCTAAATAACTAAATTATGTAGCTAAGTTTCATACTTCCACGATTTTTATTCCATATCTCTATGATACTCTGATTGATGCCATAAAACCAGTTATTTGATGTTGACATATTTGTACTTATCTTTTATGTTAAGATATTTGAACTCTAAAATTTCGATAGTTATGTAGTCATGTCACACAGGAAAATAAAAAAGATATAATTCTTTGGATATTTTGTTTTATTAAAGTTATAAAGCATAACGTTACTATTTACAGCAAACATTATATTAGAACACACAGTTAGTATATTCACTTAAATTAATGACTTAGTTATCACCCTAGATTGCAGCCTCACGATGAGCTATGAAGCGATCTATATTTACAAAAGACCGGACTAGGTATGTGACGATTACACTATGTACAATGTATTTCTTTGGTTATCCAGAATTACCAGCTGGACCAACCGTGGCTGCTGTGTCCGTGACTGCTGTGTCCATGACTGTGGCTGTGAGCCTTGTGGTGGACAGTCTTCACGACTGGGACGGCGTATTTCTTCACAACTGGTACGGGCACCTTGATCAGTTTCACGACTGGAACTTCAACAATCTTCTCAACGGGGACGGGGTTGTCTACGTGTACTTTTACAATCTTCTCGTATGGGACCTTCACGATCTTCTCGACGGGGTAGGGCACTGGTTTGTCAACCTTTACTTGCTGAATCTTTACGACTGGCACTGGCACATTCTTGACGACTGGAACTTGAACGGGGTAGGGCTGGGGTACCGGGATCTCGACCCTCTGGGGCACGGGGTAAGGCACAGGTTGGGGCACTCTGTGGGTAACTTCCCTGAATACTTGGTAGGGCTCCTCACGGATGCGGTATTGAGTAGGAGCACCGTTGCCATTAGCAAGACCGTGGATCTCTTCAATGACAGGGGCTTTGGCACCTGGGGGTGGAGCATCACCTCCGGGAACAGTCAAACCAGGCCCTCCGAGTCCAGATCCACCAAAAGCGGGTCCACCAAGAGCGGGTCCACCGAGACCAGCACCGCTGATTCCAGAGCCACCGTCAAAACTGGGTCCACCGATTCCAGGTCCACTGCCGATACTGGGTGATCCAATTAAAGATCCGCTGCTGTAGCTGGGGCCACCAAATCCAGAACCACTACCCAATCCAGAACCACTACCAAATCCGTGACCACCCAATCCGTGACCACCTAGTCCGTGGCCACCTAATCCGGAACCACCTAGTCCGTGGCTATCCAATCCGGAACCAACGCTCAATCCGTGACTACCACTGAATCCGTGACCACCTCCAATAGAGGAACCAATGTATCCAGAGTCACCAAATCCGTGGTGTCCATGAGAACCAGACAATGAAGTGTCAAGGATGCTGCTGCCATGAGAGTAGTCACCGTGGCTTAAGCCTGAACCAGAATAAGTGGCTGATGGTAGTGATCCAGCGGGAAAACTGCTGGGAGAGAAGCTGGATGATGAATGATGTGAGGGGTATCCACCCGATGAATGGTCATCGTGATGGTGACCATGGAGGATGCCGGCGTAGGTGCTGCTCAATAGGATGGCTAAACATGTCAGTTTCATCTGAAAAGATAGGATCAAGTTAGTCTTTCATTCTTACTTAGGAAACTTGGCTGTCATTTTTGTTTTTTTTTTAATATACTTACAAAAGCAGCCATTGTGATTAGCTAATCGCTGGCCACTAGGTGAACTTGTGTTGACTTCAACAAGCGACGCTTGTTTGTGATGATATCGTATACTTCCATGATATTTATATCGATGTCGCGTGTAGGTCAACACGCGTTGAGAACGAGAGTAAACGAACTGGTTTCTGAATAGTCTTTTCCTTTTCTAACGGAAACATTCGGCGTACTACCCGTAGCTGTTGAATATATTATGCTCATCGGTTACTCAATGACCGCTGATGAAGGAGTCGGTCTTTATTGATATGAATATTATGGCGATTTCTAACTGTAATGACATTGAAAAGGTTTTAATATCGAAATATTTAATTTTAATATTCTATTTCGATACCATGGTATATTAATGCATTTAATGTAAAATTGCCAAACTGCGCATTGCATTAAGTGTCTAAATAAAACTTCGACAACTTACCTATGTGTGGACATGTCCACTAAAGTTCTGGTTGATTTTTGTTTGTAAGTATTGAGATGGAACACTTTCTCAAGAAAAGCGGTTCTGAAAACCATTGTTATTATTTTCAAAGGACTAAATTTCAATTTACATTAATCCTCTTTGTTGTACTGGTTGAGTGACAGTAACGAGTTTATAGTATGCGTGACGAGGTACTAGTAACTAAAAAGGTTGCCTTCGTAGTATTACAGATGCTATATTACGTGTACGCTAAATTCTTACAATCGTCGACGCTCTAGATTTAGCCTATAAATTAATATTCACATCATAAAGATCTCAGACATCTAATCACACCAAACCAACTTTCATTTTGATTTTCATATCATTAATTTTAATCAACTATTGTTTTTGGAGCCACATTTTCAAAGTTATCTGAGCAAATAAACGTAACTTCAAATATTGAAAAGTATCGATTGACCTTTTACTAGCTTATAATAAAACCTCTTTATATTATTAGTATACATTCTTAATGCTCTCCTTTTTAGTAGAAGCCCTAAGTTCTGGCAGCACTGTCATATTAGTTTTTTAGTAGCATTTTTATCTCAAACATTAAAGCAAATAAATAATTATTTTATTAACTACGTTTAAAAACGTATCAAACCCTCTTTTTCTTGAAATCGGTTTATTAATATACTGAAACATTCTTCTAAGTGTAACAAACACTTTTTTGAAAACCGCATCATGAAATTTGTTCAGCTAATCGTAAGATAAACATACACAAACATACATAGATACAGCTAAAACTGAGCATTCTTTTTTTTTTAAACCGGTTAAAGAAATATGTACTCATCACTCAATAACTATGAAGATGAAACCTAAAACCTTTTATACAGATACCTAATGATTAACTACACATGCAAACAGTAAAGTAACGAAACATACCAATGAAGTGTTTTACATTTATAGTGAAAAGTTTTAAAGCGAGAGCTTAGGTCTAAGTTCAGATCACTGCAGACCTAAGACTATAATTACTTTAATGCATTATGAATGGAACTATATGCTACTAGCTTCGAAAAGGTCAAAAAGGCGTTGAATATTTCTAGAAAGCTTGTATGACAAATGAAAGTGACGTTTCTAATTCAGATATCTGTGTTGTTTGGAGATGAATTATAAATTAGGTTTTTATTTATAAATCTCTGATTAATGATGTAACATTTGTGGCCGTATATCGTTTTTTCTTTAGTTCACACGCCATTTCTATTTCACTACAGCATAACAGTCTGTTACTGGACTGTGATTTTTTTTGTAATATTTGATGGGTCGATGTTTGGCCGCCATCTTGCCTTGTAAGCAATGATGCTGTCTACGATGGAGCACGTCTGTCCATAAGCAAACTATTGACTCGAGCTTTGTAGACATCCCGGTTATGTTTGCCTCCTGTACATAAAAGGATTGACCATAATCTGCAAGATTGACAGGCAGAATGAAATATTCAGGTTTATCAGAAAGAGACCGTTGCTGCCTCTATTAATGAATGTGTCAGAATCAAAGTCAAAATCATTCATTTCAATTCAACCAAAAAGGCAGTTTTGAACGTCAACAACAAATGTAAAGTGAAGCTATGTGCTCATTCCAAGGTGTATATTCCTATGGAGAAGAACAAGCAAGATAGCTAGGTTGATTACTTTTTTCCAATGAGGTTCACAATACAATTTTCACTCAAGTGTACTCCCTTAATTAGCTCTTGTCATAAGATATGAGGATTATGGCGACTAATGTGCTCTATATACTCTGCCGTCGCCTTATAGCTAGTTTTTCACTGCGTTTCGTTAGCAATGCATGTTAAATACACTATAATAAATTAAAACGCAGTAATAAAGTAAGTCATAAATCTCAATATGGCGTCCACGCAAACGTAAAAGAGCCAATAATAAGACTCATTACATTAATTGGACTCAATTTAATCATGATCAAAAATTTGATTAAAAAACGAATATCTATTAGAAACTTGATTTAGAGTGATCGTTGACCATATATCTCAATTTACAGTTAAATGTTACTGTAAAATACTATTCGTAGACCTTCTTATGTTTTCTATGAAATATTAAGAGTACTATGTGGTATCGGTTGACCAACGTAAGAATAAAAAAAAACATACTTTGGGACGCAATGTTTTTTTTTAATACTGGTACAATTTAACACGTCCTTAAACCAAGCGATATTAATAAGAAATATGATCACTATTTACACATATTGACATTTACCAACCGAACTAAATCTTAAGATTTACCCAATACTAGTACAAATTCAGAGAGTAGAGATGGGTATACATAACTACTAATAGAACATGCAAACAAAGATACTCCAAAGACATTGCAACCGATTAGCTGATTAAAATGACCAATGAGTTTCATAATTTGAATTGATCGCAAAACGTGAGATGAGAGTTGAGTCCCATCGGCGACGTGGTCAAGAAAGCGAGACGCACGCGAGTTCCACAATATTTCAGTACATTTAACGCATAACAGTCGAGACAATATTATTTTTTATGAAATATTTATCTGTATGTACAATATTCAGTCTAATAAAATAGGTTGTTATTGATGCATGGTTCTTTGTTTTTAACACGTTCGAGGACGCTACCACTTGAGTCGGGTTTTCAAAATGACACAGTACATGTCTATACAAAATTATACGACGTATCAGTACGTAGTGTCCCATGAAGAAATATCGTTTTAAACATATCATGACACAACCGTTTTATCACGTCAACGTGTATATGCATCTAGGTAAGGATCCGCCTCGTTGGAGATGTCGGAATCATCAAACATGCTTATCTTGTGTCTTATTTTGCGCTTATATCCATCTAAAACACACAATAACCCATTAAACATCAATTTCACACTGTAAAATCATTAATTTGCATTAAAGTAATGTACACAGTGACACAGCCGCGCTGAATGTAGGAGCGCGGGACGTATAAACACGTTGTGCGTATGTGAATACCGTAACCGCACACTATCAACGACACTTATTTTAAATAGTTCTAAACTTACCCTACGTGACAGTACAGAGTTGGGTATTTTATATGTTGTGACACAAGATACATTTAAAAGGATTTTTACTTGAACTTTCATCGGAAATGAACGTTCTGCCGTATAATTTAAATGTTATTTGAACGTCATCGTACGTTGTGCGATATTAAAATCTCGAACGATGACGTATAATCTCGTTTTGTCCTCGAACGTGTTAATTGTGACGTAATGAAAGTTAGCAACGCTTTTCTTTCTGGCCTTTTTTTACATATTTTTCAGGTCGACCTTTATCCGAATACTAGCTTCTGCCCGCGACTTCGTACGCGCAATCCCGATATTTCCCGTTCCCGTTCTTGATTCTCGGTAAAAAGTAAAAAAAAAAGAATTGGGTAAAAAGTATCTTATGTCCGTCTCCTGGTTCTAAGCTACCTCCCCACCAATTTTCATCCAAATCGATTCAGCCATTCTTGAGTTATAAATAGTGTAACTAACACGACTTTCTTTTATATATATAGACTAGTTTTTGGTATTTACAATAGGTACTAGAATATAACACCAACTTTTCACTATTTATGTTACGATTCCCATGTAATAGGGGATGAGCCTATTGCCATATATCGGGCACATTTCAAGACTCCGTGCTACTACTGAGGTTTTTACAAACCCAGTAATACTTATACGATACTTATACAGTATAATTGTACAGCGGCATTAAGTGCCGTAATGTGCACCTCTGTCTACGCCTTCGGGGATAAAAGGCGTGATGTTATGTTATATTATGTTACTAGCTACTTCCGCGCGGTTTCACACGCTCTGCTCAGCTCCTACTGGTCGTAGCGTGATTTTTTATAGCCTATAGCCATCCTCGATAAATGCGCTATCCAACACAAAAAGAATTATACAAATCAGACTAGTTAGTAGTAGTTACAGAGATTAGCGCATACAAACAAACAAACTCTTCCGCTTTATATAATAGTACTAGCTTCTGCCCGCGACTTCGTACGCGCAATCCCGATATTTCCCGTTCCCGTTCTTGATTTTCGGTAAAAAGTAAAAAAAAAGAATTGGGTAAAAAGTATCCTATGTCCGTCTCCTGGTTTTAAGCTACCTCCCCACCGATTTTCATCCAAATCGATTTAGCCATTCTTGAGTTATAAATAGTGTAACTAACACGACTTTCTTTTATATATATAGATTAACTTTATCCAAATGAAATGAAATTCCTATCTAATCTTCACTTTCTCACTACGACTGACCAACATTTTGTTCAGATCCATAGTCCTTTTTTATTTTATGTCTGTCATGTAAATTTTGATGTAAATGCTCAAGTATTATTTCATGTATACTCATAAAGATTTCATTTAATTCAATGGTTACATTACGTAAAAGTGGATTCACTACTAATTTATTGCTCTATTACGATCAAACTATTCGTGAATCTATGTAATAATTAAATCGATTTCGTATTAAATTCTTAATCGCAATAATTAGCTCTAAATTACGTAATGTTCTATGAATCTGTCTCAGTGACATTAGCCTCTGTAACATATCATTAACATTGCTCGAGAGAAATCATAAGAAAATTATTCCGAGCCAGATTTATTACGTGATACAGTAGCAGCTGTTTTTATTGTTCGCAGGCATGCGTCAATGTTTTTATCTTAGCTTAAAATGGAGGCAAATAATATACAGTTTAATTCTACATTTTATTTTTGTAAAACATCGAGAACACTTAAAATAATTAACAACAACCTCAACAGCTTGGAATGTATCTTATCACAACAATATAATTAGAATAAAATGATTATTTTAGGTACAATATTTACAATAATACATTTGTGTTGAGACGCTTCCACATACATTTTTAAACTAGAATAAGTCTTAACAATATGTAAACCTTAAATAAAATATAAATGCCAAATTTTAATAATACATCGTTCAAAGCAGTCCGAAATTCATTTTTAGAGTAATAATATTACAAAAGTTAAATTAAATAACAACTTAAATATCTAAATACAACATAGAACATTGTACATCAATTCAGAAAATGTACTTACACAAGTAATAAATTATACAATAAGTTACGATATCCTACGTGGTATCCTCGGCACTGACGGTATCTGATTTTGACTCAGCAACCGGTGGCGGTGGTCGCAGTAATATTGGTACAGACGTCTCTAAACTTTCAGTAACAGCACCAGCCTCAAATAATGGCTCAGTCTTCATGATTCGAAGTAGTTTCGGTTTGTTAACACGCCGTCTGCGAGCGTGTTTTTCCATTTTCATATGACTACCCCTACCTATGGGAGAGTGCGGAGGAGGTGGTTTTAATAAAGGGTAAGGTTCATTTACGTCAGCTTTAGGATACTTTCTTTGATACAAATGGCGTCCTGATAACATATTGGGATGTCTATGCCTTTCGTTTACTCTAGAACCTGGCAAATATCGGCTTTTGGTTCTACTTTCTTCAAAGTTACTAGTTATGATGTCATCACCTTGTCCTGTTATGTCAGATGCAGAACTAACGTCTCTTTCATTTGCTAAGTCATCTTGTTCTACGACGGCACCAATAGGATGAGTATTAGATGCGTCGGCAATAGGTACAATGCTTTCTTCTTCTTCCTGGCTTCGAGAGTATTTAACACCCTGGTAAGGATATCTTCCAGTATTATAAAGGTCTAGGTAGGAACCACCAAGAGCACTAAGACCGTCGTTGATTGGCGCCAAGTTAGCAGTGTTTTCATTTTTTAACAAGAACTGTAGTTGTGACATGTCAAATTTCAATGGTCCTGGTTTAGTGTACTGGTCCCTCAATGCTATCATTTGAGAATCATCCACTGTGGGTTTACCTTTCAACATTTCTGCCACCAACTTGAGGTCCATATTAAATGGATTGGCAACTTTAAAGCCGTTTATGGTGGACAATAAACTACCAGTTTGACTGTCTATTTCCGGCCTGTTTATGTTTAGAGTAGGTTGCTTATTTAATAACAACTTGCTGAGCAGGTTAGTTGTGACGTCAAGCTGATGACTGCCAACATTTTGGTTGATACGCATCGGCAGTGGTGTGGGTATACCTCCTTGATCGAAATTGATATTATGTAACTTTAACGCATCACTTGACATACCCTGAGTTAGTTTGTATGGGATATCATTGAGTTTCAGAATGTTTGCCAATTCAGATGATAACTGATTTTGTTGATTGCGATTATATCCTCCTTGCTGTGAATTTGAGGATTGCATATTGTCTTGGTAATTGGCCTGTTGTGATAAATAATTTAGGCCTTGCGGTTGCCCGGGATAACTAACAGGATTATAATTAGTTTCAGTAGATAGAGACTGCTTACCATACAAACTGGACTCTAATTGTTTCAAACTATCAGAACTTACATAGTCATCAGATTTGGTTTTGATGTTAAAACCGTAAAGAGAATTTTTATCCTTATAGAAGGAATCTGTTACTGGTCTCAAGTATTGCCTTACATTTTGATCCAGTTGATCTTTTTGATAACTGTTTGAATACCTTCCGTTATTATCCAAGCCAGTACCTGATTTAACTGAGGAATCTGAAGTAGCAACTACATTAGATACATCAATGGGAACAATATTCTTCAATGCTTTATCATGATCGAAAGGTTGTTTTGGTTTGTTATCTATATTTTCCCTAGATGTCGAAAGATAATACGGAGATACTGTGATGAGATCATTTTGACTTCCATACATGTAAGGATTGTTATTATCCGTGTATTTATTCCTATTTTTGTCGTTGTTACTATAGTAGCCATTCCCTGCGTTATTGATGTCTAAAGTACCAATGTTAGATGATCCATAGTTGTTGCTACTTGCATATAGTTGCTGTTGTTGTTGTTGCTGCTGTTGCTGCTGTTGCTGCTGCTGTTGTTGTTGTTGCTGTTGTTGCTGTTTCAACCTCTCTTGGGCCTTTGCAGCTGCTTTGGCAAATTCTTGAGCTTCGATAGCTTCCGTAGCCGACTTAGAAACTTGGTCGTAGCTACTATAAGGCTTACCAGTTTCCATATGAAAGTTCATTTGACTTACTGCTGGGCCATCAGATGAACTCCCCAATGAATATCTTGGATGAAAAGAATTGTATTCTATCAAAGGCTTCTTTCCAGTAAGTTTCCATCCAAAATCACCATTGGAGTATATTTCTTGGCCTGTTTCTTGTTCCAAGTCTCTTGTACGAAGTTTCAGGTTATTCAACATTTGATTATCAGGCTGCACGTAGTTAACATACAAATTATTCGCAGAAGCCATAGTACCAATGCGATGAGTTTCACTGTTTACATTATCTGCATTTGATTCTAACCTAGTATCTTGTTGGGAGCTTGGGTACTGATAATTTTGGTACTGGTTAAAAGAACTATCTTGGATAGATTTCGATGCTGCATTCAAATTTGAATTCATTGTATTTTGCCATGATTCTCTCAGCTGGTCTTGATATGGTGAACTTGTAGTTGTAGAGGAAGATGAGTACTCGTTTGAAAATTGTTGTTGAATATTTGCAGGGTACCGTACTCCATTGCCAGCGTAATCATAATGATCTATTTGCATTTTCTTATTTTGATCATTGTAATCGTTACTTACGGGGTTATTCCCGATAGTTGTTGAAACTCTGTTATACTCAGGTGTTCCGGTTTGTATGACTGATAATGGTGACGAAACATATGACTGCAAATTATTTGGACTAGAAAGGTATAATGGTGAAGAACTAGAAACATACGAGTTAGACGGCGTCCCAGTATATTGACCATTATTCAATGGCGTGGACAAATATGAAGGAATGGGTGATGCCGTACTTTGTACGCTATCTAAAAATGTGTTAGGTGTACTAAACTGGTAAGGACTAGGACTAGACAGGTACGTTGGGCCATGTGAAGCTTTCGGCTCTAATGGTATTTGATTGTTCTGTTGGTTGTTGCTATCGTAGTTTGGCGAAGAGACTGTCGAATACTGGTATTGTGGCTGCGGAGTAGCCGTATACCCAATGTTTGGGGCTGGAGTAGATACCTGTGACTGTTGGTAGTACTGATTTTCTGCTCTTAACTGTTGAAGAAATTCTTCTGGTGGTAAAGAGTACTGCATCGATGCATACTGGTTACTAGCCCCTGCACCGCTGTCCTGTGCTTCCGTGTTCTCAGGTTGCTTCTCAGTTTCTTCTATCTGCTGCTGGAACGGATTCTTGATTCTGTAAACTTTTCTACTCCGTGGATAAAATGTTCGGGCATAGTTATTGTTCTTGTTAGCGTCCTCGTTTAGGTTGAATGATATGCTGGATGAACTTAATTGCTGGTTGTTTTGTTCTCTGTGTAACATGTTATTGATCGCATCTATATGGCCATCATTTGAAGTCATCTGTTGGTAACGGAGAAGGTCTTGCTCGGAGAATCCATTTTGACAGCGGGTGGTTTTTATCAGTTGTATTATGACTAGTAGCCGTATCTGTAAGCAAGGAGAAAATTTACTTTAGTTTGGTTGTATATAACTGTATCAAGGGTCAAATGGCTTCATAGATGAATGTCACCAACGAGTTTTGATACTAACTCAAAGTATATCTATTTGCTTTGTTACTGAATAACAAGCGTGTATCTTGTGTAAAATTACTCATGAGCACGTGGAGTTATGTTATATTATGCAATATTACTGAAATGATGATACGTATGATCCCCATCAAGCTATGTTTAGCAATGCGCGTAAACCGGTTACATATTTTAACCCGCGCTTGCATTGGCCCGTGAACTTGTTATGCATCGCAGCGTGCTAATCAATTACTTGACCATTTAAATAAAATGATGTTTAGGAAAACTGACACCTACTGGTTCTAAGTTAAGGGTACAAGCGTTACCTGTTTAGAAATTACCATGTTAATTAACTATAGATTTAGAAAACTGTCAACTATCTAATAGTTCAGCATTTTTAGAAAGGCAACAACTTTCGTTAAAGGACTTGCATACTGTTGACCTATCCATTCTCGATCTTCACAATTTCCTAACTTGTCTGTCGAGTTATCAAGTGTATTTTTATCTTTAACTACAACATTTTCCCTTTCAACTACAGCTTATCAAGGGTCAACTTGGACTTCGACGCGTAGTTCATGTGGACCCGCCTACACCATAAATGATTTTAATTTAAAACTTCTAGTACTTTCACAACTAGTATTTTGAATTTGAAATTGATAATTTATAACACAAACCTGTTGATGTCGTGTTTGAGATCAGTAAATTTCCCAGATAAAACAGTTCTCAGTTAATACGGTATGATTATAGATGCTATAAAATATGTATCTCGTGCAGTTGTCTGAATAATTGTGACACGCCCTCAGAATGAGAAGTGAAACCTAGGACAGCGTAAACTTCAACAACATCTTATGAACATCTATGGAAATTGAAATAATTTACATGGATCAATAAATTACAAGGTAAAAGGCTGACACTTAGCATTTAACTGTTAACGTGTTCACAGTAATTTAATAGAATGCACTAGATTTTACATAGCAATTTCTTTGACTACATCATCACAGTTTAATATAGACATTAGACAAACAATAAAATTAAAATTGGGACATAAATGTGTGAGTAAATAAATGAAATTAATAGATGAAAAAAAAATTAAATTGATAGAGTAAAAAGAAATATTCTTCTCATGTAAATTTTATCTCGAAATAAAGACATATATAAACAGTAGTAGTTTTATGTAAGTCAATCATACTTACATAAAACATATAAACATAATCACGGTCTCGAGCTTGTGAACTTTGCAAAATCTTCAGCATTGTAAAAACATTTGTAGTAGATTAATTCGACATCACTAGCGTCTGGAGTCCGAACCAAGTTATTATAGTAAGTAGCCTGAGTGTCCCTAGCACAATGAAGGCTATCGTTTTCTAGTTCACACTTGATAAAGCTAATACAGCGTGAGATCGAATAGGGAATTTCCTTGTGTCCAACCATTTCTCAACTACAAAATACTGCGTTTAATTGTGTTGCTTAGTGGATGCTCAATATAATTAAGTTAGGCATAATTGTAACAAAATAATTGCACGTGTGGTTACAAAGCGAGCGTGATGCGTGCGCAAGTAAACGTGTGCGCGGGCGTCGACCTTGCGGTATGCGCATGCGCAGAGCGATAGTGAGATGTGAGTCTTCTCAGCCGTGAATCGCTTTCCTACACTCTTCTATTACTAGATTCCTAATACTATTACGACGGCCATTTATCTTCATTGATCTTGGGAATAAAATTAATGTAGTCTTTATGAACACGTTCATTTAATTGAAGCGGGAATTTCATTTATCGGGTTTGGGTGCGATGCGTGAAATTGGTCTCTATTATGTATTTTTATACTTAGCTACTTTGCGTGCAGACTCTTTAATAAAAGTTTCTTTAATTAGACTTTTTTTAATTTTCAGGTTTTAATGTTCAAAATGATACTTTACTTCAGGATTATTATTAGGAACATACACAACATCACACCTATTATCCCCGAAGGGGTAGGCATAGGTGCACATTATGCCACTGTGCAATGTAACACCCACTTTTCAGTATTTATGTTATGAGTCCCATGTAATAGGGGGTGAGCCTATTGCTATAAACCGGGAACAATTCCAGACTCCGTGCTACAACTGAGAATTTTTTAAAAACCCGGTAATACTTTGTTCGACTCGGGAATCGAACCCGAGACCCCTGCCAGGCAGTCGCATTAGCGACCACTTGACCAACGAGGCAAGCAGAATATTATTAGAACATTGATAATATACAAGTACTTCGTTCTTATCATAAAACTTTTGTTTTCAGGTAATAGTGAAAGTCGAGTATGTCTGTTTGTCTTATCAAAACTCTAGTATTCTGTGAACATACTGTATTACATAATTTGTCGTTCTATACAGTTTATGACCACAAAACGAGTTTTATAAAATAGATAAATATAAACGTTACGTAAAATTGTTTATATTATTATCTAATCCAGTTCCAAACTTTTTAAAATGGAAACTTAAATCAATCCGCAAATTATTGTTAATATGAATTAATTCTATTATTTGAATGTTCATTTTTAAATTATTTCGACTTAATTGCTCTGCATAATATGCACATATAATTCGTAAATGTAAATATATATAAATACTGAAAGTTGAAAGATTGGTAATAAAATAACTGTGTCTTATCAGCTGATGGGGTTTATCCTAACGATTTGGTGTAACCTATACATAAGGTGAAGTATAATTTAATCCAGATTTTTTATTGGTTACAAAAAAAAACCATTTTTCATAAAGACATAATAACATAACATTACGCTACCGAAGGTGTAGGCATAGGTGCACATTACGGCACTTAATGCCACTGTACAATGTAACACACACTTTTCACTATTTAGGTATGTTAGAGTCCATATAATAGGGGGTCAGCCTGCTGCCAGCCAGCATACATGCCATATTCATTTCAATTGGATTTTGTCAAAAAGAGTACCTATTGTATGTAATGTATTAGTGAAACGAACTTAAGAAGTTAGAGAAAAGATCAAAACCACTATAAACATGAATTAAAAAAAAAGGTTTAACTATTTTGGTTTATTTTATAGGGTAGCTGCCTAATTTTTATTTAATGTCCGTCTGATAGATTCTTTTAAATCATTAGACAAGTACTTTTACTTTTACTTTCTCAGAGAAACTAATACTTTCGACGATATATTGATTTGAAATGTCGCATGACGTCACTTCTATGTACATTTTATATGTAGAAATGACGTTTTAACGAGTGTGTAACGGAGTGGGGACTCCTAAACTTTGATTCGTTTTATATAAGTATTGTTTTATTGTAAGACAAAATAAAAAAATACGTGTCTAATATTTTTTCATTATTTAACTTACGGACTAATTAGATTTTTAACTTTCAAACCCTGTCATCATCCCAATTAAACCCATATAAATGTAATGGACATAAATCACCATAAACGGCAGCTTTTCCAAATCGCCACTGTTTTGAACACATATAAATCAATAATGACCCTCATATAGTCATCATTATTTTAAAACTGCCAAATATTTCTTCACGAGGCCTAAAAGAAACTAAAGTAGAAAAACGCGAAATTTAGAAACACACAAATTATACGAAACGGTTGTTTAATGTATTCATAAAATGTTATTTAATACAATTTATATGATACTAGATTTTGCCGTAGCTCTGCTCATGTTACATACATTCTATCAACCAATTTATGGGAATAGGATAGGGGGAGATAAAGGAACTGACGGTTCATCTGATGAAAAGTGTGTTAGCGGTCTTTTGAGCCTTCTGTTCTGTAAAACAAAAGGTTAAGCCTCCAGTTACCTCAGTCACACAGTGAAATACCATGCAAATATTGTTTTGTTTCCGTTAGATTTAAATAAGATCATGGTAGCATTCCAGTGGAGTCATTGTCGAATCACACAATTTCAGTTTTTCTCCTTCCGTATTATACCGTAAATTTGATTAGTTTTCCCATGTATCAATATGCCCGTAGCATAATTACGTGAGTAAATGTGTGTGATAAATACTTAACCGCTACTCAATTTTAAGTAAATAAAGAAAGAAAAAGCATTTATTTGGCAGTCGTAAGTCGCGCTTAAGTATAGTTCTGGTACTATAAATTCTTTGTAAAATGACATAAATGCCACGATGTCTAAGTACAACTTAAAATTGAGTAGCCTTTCAGTATTCAGGCGTAAGTCATGTGGTTAATATGATAATAAATTTAGGATTTCCCATGTAATTTAATTAGCATTCACACACTTTTATTTAAAACTTCTACATATAACTCCTAATATACGTAAAACAAAACAAACAAATTTACTACAATATTAGTCAATTTTTAATACGATAAAGTTGGCGACTAAACGTTTGAATCGCGAAGCCATTGATATACGATTAAAGGAACAGATTCACATAATAGAAAGTTTTAGAAGCTTTCAACTCGTGACTATTATGTATGCAAGACAGGATAATACCCGTCCGGGGTGAAAGGGCAACGGTATAAGTTACCAACTACATGGGAAACTGTTAGCACTTGCAACTAATATTCATTTATGTATTAGATAATATTCTGAGTCTTGTGTTGACGGTAATAAAGAACATTATATTTGTTTCTGGTTTTGTAATGGGAGCCATAAGGAAGAGAATAGGGTATCCCAAATAGGGTAATTTCCTAAATTCTTTTTTCTTTTCTCACAAAATTAATTACTTTCGACGATACCTATAATAATTTGAAATATCATATTATGATATCCTGATCCTAAACTTAACGCCATTTTATCTAAGTATTGTAACTGTATATAAGACAATAAAAAATACGTGTCTAATATTTTTTCATTATCTAACTGACAGTCTTATTATTTTTTTATTTTAATACCCTGGCAACTACACAATTACATGAATTCATTAATTTAATAACTCTATAGTTGTGTATAATAGAC